ATATATACTGTTTTTAAAATATATTTTCTATTTTCTATTTTTAAAAAATAAATAAATATTTCGTTTTTTTTTTTTCTTCTGTTTTATCAAAATATATTTTATATATCTATTTTAAAAATATATATATAACAACAACAAAAAAAAGTAAAATATAACTAACACAACTAAAATATAATAATCCAATAAAAATTTCAGAAGAAAAAAAATTAAACAATTAAAATATCTCTTCTTCGATCTCCTACAATCTTGGTCAATATTACTCAATCTACTACCAATGAATCCCTTCAATATTGCTTAATCTTTGACAACAAAAAAAACAAAATTTTAACTAAGTCAGAATAAATATAAAGATTAAATATAATTATTAAATTAAATTGAAGAATATGAAAGAACAGGAAATTATACCCGATACTTGAATAACAAATTGAAAATTGGAATTATAATTGGAAGATTAGTAGGGAGTGGGAGAAGAAGAAGAGTTAGAGGGAAGAAGAAGACAAAATGAAAATATTATGAGAAACACGTTTCTAGAGAATGAATTGCATAAAGTATATAAAGACATCGGCGACGTGAATATCACGTCGCAAATTTTGCCACGTGATATTCACGTCGCAATCCACAACGATCATATAATTTATTAACCTATCAGTAACGTGATTATCACGTTGCAACTTTGTCATATGATAATCACGTCGCAACACCCAACGGTCAGAAAACCATCATTAATCACCTTGCATTCCATCAGTTCAAAGTCAGACATTTTCCCTCTTAAATATTTGCGATGTGATTTCCACGTCGCAACCAATTTTATAATTTTTTCAAACTTTCTTCCTTCAGAGCGTCAAACCTTTTTTATTTTATTTTTAATTTAAAAGTTGTGACGTGATAAACATGCCGTAACTATTTTTTAATAATAAATAATGTAAAACTCCACGCGATAAGTTAACAGCTATTATATTTAACATTTAAAAAATATAGTGACATGATTTTCACGTTGCAACAGACAATTTTTTGCCACGTGATAATCACGTCACAAAAATACGCAGGGGAGATTTTTTCTTGTAGTGTATTTTATATTCATGAAACACTTGTGGGTATTTTTTGTTAATTTATATTCCCTTCTTTCCACAATGAGTGACTCATTTAAAATAAAATCGTGTTCCAAAATAAATGATTCATTTTAATTTCCAATATACTTTTTCCAATTCTACCATCTAATTAATTAAATTTTCATCATTTCTAATACATGATTATGAGTATTATAGTAAAAATATAATTTTCTCTCTAACTTTTCTCCACTTTTCTTAATATATATATATATATATATATATATATATATATATATATATATATATACTATATATATATATATATATATATATATATATATATATATATTATATGAAATATTAAGCTCCGTCACCATTGTAGGACAGAGGGAGAAGTATTATTTTGGCTTCAACCCCACTTAATAAAAGAAGAAGAAAATATCAATAAAAAAACACTATCCAATACAATTTGTTTCATCAAAATATCATTTTTTTAATGTTTCATATGTTTGTGTCAGTAACTCAGTGTCTCTAGTGGCTGAAAGAGCTAAAGATCCGTGACCCACTTTTTAAGGAGGGATCAAAATCAAAAGCAAAAACCACATTTGAAGCACATAACTATTATTTCTGTGGAGAAAAAAAAGCAAAGATTTTGTCTACTATAGTGTGATGGGTATTGTTGTGGTCATTGTGCTGTTATCACAGTTTCCATTCTACTATTATCTCTGGAATTGGCCTCAATCATGGGGTGGACCTATGTGGTAAAGGAAGAGACCCTTCAAAGGTTATGGCTTACATTGGTCATTTCTTGAAGCTCCTTCAGATCATTTCACTCATCTCTGTCTCTTCTTTTCATTGGCCTCCTTTTTACTTCTGGCCTCTTTTTGCATTTGGACAGTTCCTTAACGTCAGGTTCTTCTCTTATTTTCGAGCATGGTTGGAATTTATAGTGATTGGTTGTTAAATAAATGTCTCACCTTATTATGCACAATGTATCACTGTATTACTTTGAAATTTTGCCTAATCATAATGATGATATTGTCAAATGATAGGGTTTATCAGCTGCTTGGTGAAGCCGGCACATACTATGGCGTACGCTTTGGAAAAACTATTCCCTGGGTAACCGAATACCCTTTTGGGGTCATCAGTGATCCTCAATATATTGGCAGCATCATGAGTATTGCTGCATGCCTTACATGGGTTCCTTATCAATACATTCTCTTGTGGGTTTTAGGATATGTGTTTATGATCCACGTTGAATCGAAGGAAGATCCATCGACTCGTGCCAAGCCACTCAATTGATTTATTTTCAGTAGATTAGATATAACCTGAACGATTCAGTAGCATCTGAGGTGCAGAATTCTTTGTATGATTCTGTTTCTTTCCTCTGCACTGGAATGCCATCTCTATTATTATGTTCTGCTTCCGCAACACGTCTGTAACATATTTGGTTTCTGTCTCTCGACATGGATTTGGATTCTCTATTGACGACTCTGTAGTCTTTCTAGCTAGAGGTCGGCCATTGGACTAGTGATTATTCCAATGACTAAGAGTTCATCAAGGATGCTCTTGCTCGATGTATGCATGTCAAGCTTGTCAAAGTGTGAACTGATTTAGACGATAACTTCAATAAATGCAATCTTGCACCTGTGATAAGGATTCACATTTTTTGTTTATTGTTTGGATACAAGGATTCACCATTCTTTTTCTGTCATAAGATTTATGTTTATGCTTGTCACAGGTTTTTCGACTTTTATTTTTACAGCGGTCTGACATTTCTTTTCGTGTACATGCTTCTTTTTTTATCGATAGCACAAAGAAAACCATGAATTTCTCGATATACATTTTGTCTTTTACTATAAGTGTTAACATCAGTTAGCACAATCACTTAACTTGAAATCCAGAACCCTAGCCTTTTTCCCTCTTTAAGGCTACGCAAAAGCTAGAGACAAATTGAAAGTCTGAATTGCATTTTGTACAGCCTCAACATCTATATCAATCAACTTCCCCGTCTTTGATGATATTACAATGCATTTCTTCTCTTCAGCCTGGGGAACAAACTTGTTTCCCTTCTCTTTAGAGCAAAATAGTGCAACACTGTGAAAAATCAGTAGCATTTTCATGGGATCAATGTGAGTGTCTTGCAAGGCTATATAGATGTGCCCTTTAGGGAACTTTTATAACTTATGTGAATGATAGAAGTACCTAGGTTTTCCGCGTGTGTGCGCCAGCTGAATTGCAGCTGTATTGGTAGCTATTACTCCAGCCGAGTCATTAATAAGAGCAGCCAACTAAACCATACAACCAGAGAATCAAATCCAGTTAATATTGTATCGGATCTGAATTCCAAGGTTACTATAGTCATGGAATTGAACTACATTATATTAGAATTTGTCATTCGCTGAATACATTGTGAGTGTGAATTTGAGACTGCGTGTAATCCGAATTTGGATTCCATGAAGACTATGCTAGTTTCTCAAACTTAGATCAAAGAAAAAATCAACAAGAAATATTTGAGTACCTGTCCAGGGGTGGTGATGAAGATTATGGAGGCATCTTCTCCAACAATTTCCTCAACATTTTCCCTTTCTTTCTCATGTGGAATGACAAAAAGTGGCGTAAATTCCCTGTTACTTGAATATTCATTGTGAAAACTATTTTCTTTATAACATACACAGGAAACAATGACAGAAGATAAGAGAGAAAATTCTTGAGGATCACTTATTTGATTAACACAATTAAGATACCTCTTTTAATTGGTGTAACAATAACAACCTGCAAGTCTTATAATGTAACGACAATAAATCCAAAAGCTTAAATGACGACACATAACATACTACGTCATTAGAGGCAAACTCTATAAGAGGCAACATTTCATACCTTATCGCATCAGCAATTTCAGCCCACACTTCAAGAGGAAGTAAGCTATCAGGATCGCCCCTAGACTGCATTGTGGCCTTTGAATCTGATTGTATCCCATGAATCACAACATATTTTCCTTTCCTTACACCGACTTTTGTGTATTTCTCCTCCACAATTTCCTTCAACTTCCTTGAAAGTGATATTTTAAGTGGTGGCACAACCTGCCTTGGAACGCTTCGAAACGGTCTTCCTAGCCAGTCTTCCATCTGATGATACCTAGTTCAACAAACTCATTGAAAATTTTCCTCAGTTAAAGAAAAACTTCACGTAAATCCACCTAATGTAAATCTAAATCAGAGTATAAACTCACATATGAAATCCTCCCTCTGAAAGATTTGCACTATCAGGTGTGAATGTTTCAGATAGAAACAATCCTGCCCCTGCAGCATTCACATTTGGGTAGACATAGCTAACTCTATCTCGCGCAGTTGTCAGGAATAAATATACTGCATGACCAACGCCTGCCAATTTTGTGCTTAACACCATGTCATAGTACCTACCCTGTAAGCATAACACAACAATGAATCAGTTAATTTCTCTAAAATTTCAAATATATGTAACTTAGAAAGTAGCATGCAAAAGCTGGAAGAGTTGTGGTTTAGTTGCAAGTGTTTCATTTCACCTTAAACCCAGTAATGTTATTCTTAAAACCTATTTACAATATGGAAATAATATAATCTAATTCGATCTTAACACCAATAATTAAACTCATTTTTCTGTGGGTGCATGCAGATATGATCTATGAAGCACGACACTTTATCTTGAAGACATGTTTGGTATCGAAGACAAACACGACACTGAAACATGTACTTACATTCAATCACTTTTATTTTCTCAAATTATTATTGGTGTTTGTGTGTCGCAAATTATTAAGTAAATATGCTTGTAAACCAACCTTTAGAACTCCAACAAAATCAGTATACTCAGCAGGCTCAGGAAACTCATCATCAGGATCAAAAACATTAGCCCATCTAACATTCTTATTCAACTCATAACACTGTTTCCCTCTCTCAGAACCCACAACGTCAATCTGAACACCAGGGTACCTATCCTTAATCAACTGAATAGTTGGAAAAAACAACAAATTCTCATAAACACCACCAGACACCACACAACAACACCTCCTAACATCACCTCTAATTTTCAATCCCAAAGAAGCTATCTCAACTGTATAACCAGCTGGAAACTTCAAGAATCCATAAGGACTGTCTGGATTATCCGGCGGCCTTGGATCCTCCTCTTGTTTACCGTCCGAAAACAACGAACCATATTCGATGTTAGGGTCTTCTCCATCGTCAAAAGGGTCGAGCCATGGATTTTTCTTTTTGGCATTTACACGAACATTTGGTGTTCGAGTTGAATTGGAATAATGTGATGATGGATAGTCTAATGAAGTTAACAATGAAACATGAGTTGGATATGTAAAAGGTGGGTTTGTGAGGAAATGTGAGAAAGGTTTTTGATTTTTGGGTAGTAAATAGTTTCTTGTAGTTGCAGCCATTGAGGTTTTCTAATGGTTCTTTTTTTTTTTTTGGTCTTTATTCTTCTTGTAACAAAGTTTGAAATTTTAATGAAGAGAATATGTGGAAGTGTGTTGGATAAGTGGGTCCTATTCAATCCTTTTTGTATTATGTTCAGACTTCAGATTTTTGTTACCAGTTATACACCATTCATCAATCTTCATCGTAACACTATAGTTGTCATTTTGAAAGGACTCACTTTTTACTCAAACCAAATTAACCAATTTTATTATTTTAAAGAGTTCGAGAAATAATATGGAAGACAACAAAAATCACTGCGAGAGGGAATAAGTTAAGATTAAATAAAATATTTTAATATATCTTTAAATTTTAACTGAGGAAAAAAGAAAAAAAAAATATTTTTCAATGAGGACGTGTCACACGAAGGTCTGACGACGAATATCAGTGACTAGTCTAAGGTAGGGTAAATTTCAGGTTATATTAGGTTAATTTCCAGATCAATTCGTTGATGGATCTATTTTAGTTTCATTAAAGTTTTGACAAATGTAAATATAATTTTATGTTAGTTGTTGTTCGTACGAGTTGCATAAGGTGTAGAAATCTTACTGAGATGCGATGGTAGAAATTTAAAATTTTATTCTTGGAGCTTAGTCACCTTTAGAATTATCAAAGAGGTTTGAAAACACTTCAAACCTCTTAAATTTGTGTGATTCATATTTTGAAAGCTAGAGAGATTGAAAAACGTGAGTTTTTATTGAAAACTCTGAAAATAGGGTTTCCAATACACAATTTGAGGAGATGTGTAGTTGGATTGTTAACTTGGTGAATATGTTGTCAATGTTACCAAGAATTGAAATCTTAATCACAAAAATTATTGAAATATTAGATATAATATTAGATATAATTCAAGTTGTGTAATTCAAGTTCAAGTTCAATTAAGGTTTGTTAGCCTAATTAGTGTGTAAGTTAGTTGTATATAAATAGACTAGTTTGTAAATCAGTTTGTAATAATTCAATTCAATAATACATTCTTTATTTCCTTATTCTCTCTCTTTCTCTCCTCACTAAAAATAGCTCACACACTAACAAATTGGTATCTAGAGCTTCAATTAGATTCTTGATCGTGTTTTCAAGAGTTACACGTCAAAGATCGTGTTTTCAGGATCGTAGGTTGTTGTCAATCAGTCATTGTGAAGATAAATGGTACTAACAACATATTCTGATTTTTCTTCCAACTCTTGACGAAAAGAATTGGATTTGATGGAGAAAACAAATGCAATCTCTCTTTGGCTTTCATGAAACCTATAAGTGGTTACTAATGGTGCTCCTGTGCTGACTGTGGATGCAACTGACGCACAGAAAACCGCTCACAACAAAGCCAAGAAGAAGGATTGCAAGGTTGTGTATTGCATTCAAGTGACGGTAGATTTGACGAACTTCGACAAAATTTATCACGCTAAATCGATGAAGGAGGCATGGTATATTCTTGTCAAGTACTATAAAGGAGGTGGGAAAGTCAAGGTTGTCAAGTTGCAAACCTTGCAACGGTGTTGTACCCCAAAATTTACCCTCCCATTTTTTTTAAGACATTCTCCTAGGATTCTCAAAAGCTCAAGGTGGCTCAAGAATTGATCAGATAAATTCTCCTCCTAAGTAACAGACTCACAACTAGGATTTTGTATTTCTCAAGGAAGATTGGGTTTCCAAGGTCTTAAATGGTTTTCATGGTTCTTCATATGTCCCTAAGAATGCTCATACCAAGTTCATACCTTGCATCACAAGTTTGCTCAGTCAATTGCTCAGATGATGGAAAATCAATTGTATTGGGTAAAATGTCAATTGTGGTCAACATACAGTCAAACCTCAAGATTTTTGGTCAACATCAAGATTTTGAAGCCACTTTTATCATTTGATCAAGGGTTGATCATGATTCCTCAAGAAAAGCCCTCAAATCATCAAAACTCAAAAGTTGTCAAAATTAGGGTTTCCTTAGAAGAAGTCAACTGAACTTTGACCAAGCATAACTTTCACATGCTTCATCATCTTTTCCCCAACCAAAGCTCATTTTGAAGGAATTCAATTCTCTACAACTTTATCTCTCTAACCTCAAGTCCAAAAAGTACATCATTTGAAAGATATGAGTCAATACATTACAGGTCATTTCGAAAGTCAACAAAAAGACACTTTTTGTCAAGAGAGCTTACTTCAAGATAAAGTCTTCAAAACCAAAAATGATCAACATAGAGATTGTACATGACATCTTGAGCTTTCCGAAAATTCTAAGATCACCTTCAAAAGATGAAAATTGAGAGAGTTATGACCATTGCAAGTTGGGAAGTTTTGAGCAAATACACGAAGTTCAAAATGAGCAAGCTTGACATTTTGGACTATTGGACCATTGTTGAAGAGTCCAAATGTGCTCTATACTACTTATACACCTCATAATTCATTCATACATCCTTTGACCTATTTTTATTTTAATTACTTTTTTTATTTATTCATTAATAATGCAAAATAAATAAGATAAAATCATATCTTCTTACACAAGGCCCAAGTCCACAAATCTTTGACCTAATTTCCATTATATAAACTCATTATTTTCATACAAACAAGGATACAAAAACCTTTCCTCTCAAATAATTATCAAAACATCAAAATTTTCAAGAACCCTAGAAATCTTGAAACCCTTGTTAGAAACTCTTTCACCATAAACTAGTCATCTCAATCAACTACATTGCTTCTCAGGGTAAGATTGGGTCAAGTTTGATGGTCCAAAATACATGAAATATCATCGCATGGCATCACGATTCCATCCTTACTTGAATTTCATGTTTTTTTACTACATTCTAACACTTACTAATGCTTTATATGTGTTTATGAGACTCAACTATGCAAGAATGATCCATCGTGGAAGCCTCATGCATGCTAAATCTTAAATCACCATGTTTGCTCTGATCTATACCGTTTATGCTATAGCAACCAAACCATTGTCTTTTAGGCTAAAACAATCCTTCCATTGAACTCCCAGCCCTCGATTTAGGGGAATAGGATATTTTTGGATCATTAACGCTTTGTGTTTTATTGGTTGGATGAAAGAAAGCAATCGGAGAAGACGACCGGAGCTAGTGCTCCGGCGCCTCTCTGGTTCAGGAAACTTGTTTATATTATATATTTATGGGTTGACATAAGTTAATGGATGTATAGTTGCCCCAGCGGTTAAAGCGCGCGCGTTAAAGTCACTTGTGTCAAAGGGCCTGGGTTCGATCCAGCCTTTTGCCACTTATTTTTCTAATATTTCCATATTTTGCTGGTTTATCATATAATGCGCTGAAGCCAGATTCCATCACCAAGGCGCGCTTGGCCTGGTGGTGAGTGTGTTGCTCGAAAGCCTTAAGGGTGTGGGTTCAACAGCCACCCCTACCATTTGGTTATTTTTAATACATTTTCTTCCTTTTCATAAAACCTACCATTTTTTACATAACCTTTATTTTCTTCTTAACAAACCCTAACTTAATTTTAGGTTTTTTTAATCAACACTGATTTGGTTTTTAGGTTTTCTTAATTAAATTAAAATCAACTTAGATTTTAGGTTTATGTTTAATTTAATTAATTAACCTTTCTTTTTTAATTAATTAAAATCAATTAGGTTATTAGGTTAATCGCCAAAAACTCTTTTCTATCAAAAATCACCAAAACAATTTCTTTTCCCGTTTCTTTTTATTTTACAAGTTCGTCTATTTTATTAATGTCGCATGTTCCATTATTTTTCCAATTATGTACATGCTTACAGTTTGTAATAATTTAATTAGGGTTTACTACTTGTAATATGGCGGTAGAACCGACTGTTATACTGGTTTTACGTTTGTATTCGCAAATGTTGCGGTAAGTAAGAGTCGTCACTGACTTTTCTTTTATCGAACAAAGGAAAGGGTGAAAAGAACAGAAAAAGACCTTTCAAGATTATTTCTGAGTAAGGGGGTAGATTATGGAAAGGCAAGGTGTTATCACCCTTTCCATCCGTAATTATCTACGGGCTCTTAGATGCTAGCTCATTTTGAAAAATACCTTGTGCTTGTATGTTTGAAAATATTTTTGAAAAGACGCCTTAGTGCGGAGAACTTCGTAATGTTTCTCGCATTGTTGAGAACGTATATGAAGAGTTTTGAAAATGTTTTTTGAAAGATTTTTGTGTATGTGAAGAATTGTTTTTTTAGCAAGCATCTAAAAACTATCTACTTTACTCGAAAGGTTTGTTCTTTTCCTCTTTTCTTTTAGACAGTATTATCCTACTATTAGTGAATAGGTAGCCCTATCATTGGATGTTTTGAGGGACAATCGAGGGTCATCGTACAATCATAAAGACAACTTAGTAAGATACTTTAGTAACTACCCTAAGGTTTTAAGATCATTTTACCAAGGCAATGTCGAAAGGGTCATCGAGGGGCTTATGATATTTTTAAACCAAAGGGTAGCCACTAAAATCTCTTACATTTGAGAATTGTGACCAGTTTTATTCCAAAGGCAACCGAAGTGGGAATACTCTAGAGGTGCGCATGTGCGATTGTGTTGTGTTTCAGTTATTTATCTTTGCATTAAGTTTGCTAACATTTTGTTTTTAATTTTTCTTGCCATGCAATCCTATTACCATACATCTAAACAATTCATATATATACAAGAATTTAAAGTGCAGAAATTAAATCTAACTATTACATGGCTTCGGGGAGGGGGAAGATTACAAGTCCAAAATTTGGGGAGATAAAAGCAGTAAATGTCCTAGTTTTTAACTATTACAAATGGGGAAGCAGGTACAATAATAAGAAAAGGTAATAATAATGTGAAAGTATTTAAACGTGCGCGAATTGGAAAGGACGTTTAAAACCCTAGAAAGTTCTAAGAAAAAGAAACTCTTTTTGTCGTTTTTGTTTATTTGGAGAAAATATTAAATTAAATTAAATCTAATTAATTAAAATAAGAAAGAAAAGTATTAAAAGAAAATTCTAAAACAAACCTAATATTTTTG